ACGCACGCGCACGCACGCGCACGCAAGGCTGCTCACACGCCCGCATGTCAGGGGGCTTGAGGTCTGGCGGCGGTCTTCCTAAAGCTAGATTGCAGCCTCCAATTCTTGCCGCGAACATGGTCACGCGTAAGGGTGGGAGGGTGGGGCTGGTGGTATAAAAAGAGACCCAACGAAAGACGGCGGTGATGCTCATCATCACACTCAGAATTCCCGCTCACACTCAACCTCACACCTCCGATCACACTCACCCTCACGCTTCCGCTCACACTCCACCTCACGCTTCCGCTCACACTCCGGATTCCCGCTCACACTCAACCTCACACTTCCGCTCACACCCTCGCTCACATTTTCGCACAAATACTTCTTTTCAGCCTCCCCAATGGTTCCAAGGGCCGCCACTCATAAGACTAGTGGTTCATAATACAGCACCAAGATAGTGTCACCTTTTGTGTAGGGTCTCCCGCTTCCCCCCCCCCCCCTCCCCTTATGGAACCACAAAAAGCATTTTTTCCATGCCAAACAGTCTGCGTGCACGGCCGAAGATATCGTTCAGCGACGTGGCAGCCCAGGTCCTCATCGCAATGGCCTATTTTGAGAGGCCCTTGTCCCTCACGTCGCTCAACAAGTCTATGATGACCAAAATTTTCTTCGCACAGACCTTGAACATGGGCAGCTGCGCTGCATCCAAGATTTCCACAGTTTAGGATCCCTTTTGGGAGGTCTTCGTTTTGGGGCCCTCCATTTCTTTGAAGCCAGTACCAGGGTTCCTAGAGACGCAGTAGAGCTGAAAGGAAGATTTCCCGAAATTCAGTCACCACTGGATGCGGTAAATGTACTCAACGCCTGGATTCAGGCTTTGTCCTCTTCTTGGTGAACTTGTACGGAGGAGAAACCTTGTGGCTTGTATGCAAACATGGAGTGGGCCCGAATGCGTGGATTGCCTACGTCACGTTCCTCTTGAGAACCCCTCCAGCTTTGCTGCTTCTAAATTTTTGTTACGCCCTTAGAATAAGGACATACAAAAACCATGTGCAGGGGTCGCCTGACACATTTCAAAGGGGAAGTGGATCAAGCTGACGTGCTGTTGTGGCTGCGAAGTTGGCAGCCGAACCTGGTGAAGGCAGAAGCTTACAGAAACAAGGAACTTACATCATGACCATTTTGGGGACATGTACTTTGAACAACTGCGATGTTATCTCTACCCCCGGCAGCGGTTTTCCTGGCTTAGGGGCCTGAAGCTGGCAACTCTGTGTCGCTACTATTTGATTAGGGGACGTGGCAGTGCGGGCGGAATACGGGCATATTCTGAGAGAAGCACTTGGCAGGTGGTTTACCGAATGCGGACTGTAGACTTGGGGATGAGATTATTAAGGGGAATACTAGGAGTTTAGACAATGGCCCATGTAAGCGGTGGCTTTTTTCAAGGCGGGTGCGCGATTCTGAATCTTTGCTCCTCACAACAAAAATCCAAGTACCCCCTATAATACTGCCCTATATAATCCATATATAAAACCCCCTTTAAGGAGTTTGCGCTATAGGTCAAATGTCCTTTGAGGGCGCGAGATCATGGTAAACTTGCCCACTTGCTGCAGCAACCGGCTTTTCACATCAGTGTATGGTAGTTTGAGAAAGTTGGAGGTTCCTCAGAATGAGGATTGACCATGAATTATTGGGGTCTATGTTGGGGCCCCTCTGTTTATGGAAGCCCCTGTAGAAGAATCAAAGCCACGAGTGTTTGGAGGGAAGCGCAATGGCTCAACAACCACCGCAAGCGCAAGATGGCCTCTGGCATGCGCCGTCAGTGGCACAACCTCTTGCAAGATTACGGACGGAGCCTGCCTCAGAACGGCAGTTCATAACGGGCATGTAATGCTGCTAAGTCTCCTGCGAAACACTGTGGCTTGTGCTGCTTTTTCCTGCCAGGACGCAGATTCACATGCCTACGTATCACTTTGCAAGCAAAAGCATTCCTTGCGAGGAAGAAACAATGGCAGGAGGCGATTGCCCTAGTCACAGAAAGTTGGCGCACGGGCGTCGATGTGGTGACAACGAACTGTGCTCTCAGCGCATGTGCCGCTGCCTACCGGTGGCAAGAGGCTGTGGGCACTACATGCAGCCAGCTTTAGATGAGCTTCTGTGCTTTCCAGTAAGCGGGTGCGCCAAGTTGCAATCTCGGGGTCCGTTTGCCCAAAGAATAAATACAGGGATGCATGGATGTACCCCAGTCTTGTGACATCGGGATGGCTTCTGTGACTTTTTCTTGTGGCTCCTGTGTGCAGTAAACGGCACGGCCCCTTAGCACGGCTTGCGCAAGTGCTAACTGGTATTTCTCGCAGGCTGCTGTACTGCTGTCCGAAATGCGACAGCGTGCTGCCCAACCAGACGTGTTCAGCTACACCGCAGTGGCTGGGTCAAAGTGAAGAATTTCAGTGCCCTGCACATGTTCCAGAAGCCTGGTCGCGGTGCCCCATGTGGTAGTTTCCCAAAATTAGGGGTACCTTTTTTAGCGGTTCCAATAATAAGGATTGTAGTATTTCTGGGTTTATGTTGGGGTCCCCTTACTTTGGGAAACTACCATGCTCAGGGCAACAAAAACCAAGACATGCCAAGATGCTGCATTCTGCGGCAGGTCATCAATGCTTGTGACAGGGCAAAGTTGTGGCAGCAAGCGTTGGCTGGACTGTCGGCAGCGACTGCGCAGCTGCGGCCAGATGTGACTCGGACCCACTGACCTGTGCCAAAGGTCATGCAAGCCATTAAATACTACTAAGTCACTATTATTACTATTGCTATTATTACTTATTACTATTATTACTGCTAGTGCTACTGTTACTATTATGTGTACAAGCACTACATTCCAGCTTCATGCTTGCCCAAAAAGAGCGGCACCGCAGTTACATCTTGCCCTTCTGCTCGCAAGGTCTGTCTACACAATGCCACTCTTGCTGCTTTGCAGAGATCAGCGCAGTGGAAGAAGGCCGTTCTGCTCTTCCAGGAACTGTGCGAAAGCGGCAACGACTTCAAGCCGGACGTGGCTCGGCTAGTGCTCCGCCAGTGCTTGAAAGTGCGGGGGTCCTAGTATGTAATATAGGGGCCCAAATAGCTATCAATATTATGGTTCCATATTCCTTGTATAATTATAGTATATGGTACCTCAAATGGACCTCAAAATGATCTTGGTAATTATCTAGGCCCGTGTGGTCGTCCCTTTCTGGGAGTCCCCGTCATGAGAAGTGTTATAGCATCGCATTTGGGGGGTATATGGGGGAACAACATCTGTCGAATGTACTCGTAGATGGCTGGCACTGCACCGCGACTTCTTTTCTGGATTGCAAGTGCAAGGTCGTCTCCTTCAACACTGCCATCTCCGCATGTAGCAAGGCTGCTTGCTGGGAGTGGGGCTTGGCTGTGCTGATGTCAATGACGCAGTAGAACCTCGGCCCAGCGAGTGTCAGTCAGTGCTATCTGCCATCAAGGCTGGACCCTAAACCCTAAAGCCTTGATAAGAAACCCTAATCCTGAAGAAAGGGCTGGAAGTGACCAGCATTCAGAATGCAGAGGCCAGAGTAGATAGTACTGTGCTAAGTGAGCCTTCTAGCCACGTAGCAGTGAAAGGTTCAGGCGATTAAAGGAGATTATGAGGAACCCGTCGTGCTAGTTGTCTCTGTCTTTTGCAGCTGGCTCTGCTTGTGATGTCCCTGCTTTCATGCCTTAGGTAGACAAGACCCCCCACCCTGCAATAGGGGTATAATAGGAATGTAAGAGGACCTTAATATCATCCCTATTTTCCTTTGTAGTCACTATTACTGGGTGGGGGGTCTGCCTAACTGCTATCATCCCGTTTGTTTCGCAAATTGTCTTCAGAGCTGTGGTGCTTCCTTTCGTGCTCAGTTCTCTTTACCCGGATGCCGTGGGCGTGAGTGCGGCTGTGCGGGGCCTTGGAGCTGCACAGCGCTGGCAAGGCGCATATCCGGATATTACCCCCAATCATGGAGAATCAAATGGAAGAGGGAATGAAAAGAACATGGAGAATATTATAGCATATGATATTGTGATATTGTTGGGATATTATAGGGGGTATATAGGGAGATATTCCCCACAATAATGGAGAATCGGAAAGAACATGTAGAATGTTATGGAAATGGTACTCGCAGGTCCTTCGCAAGAGGAAATAAGGGCACATAGGGTTGTTACCCTACGCTGGAGAATCAAATGGAAAAACATGGAACCTGGCATTTTGTAGGGGTTAGGGTTTCCCAATTGAATATGCTGAGGTTGTAAGACTTTTGCATCATGTAAACACGGCCATGAGAAGTGCTTGAGATTGGCCTTGGCCGTGCCTTGCCTAATGCTAGACCGTTGTGAGATTTTCACAGCCGTCACAGGGACGCCTTATTTTGGGCAACCCTAGTCCTATGAGATCCCTATGTAGCCCTATATATCCCAATATTCCCCTACATATCCTTATACAAGCCCATGTATCCCTATAAAACGCCTGTGATCCCGGATTTTCTACGGTTCCAGAAATAGCGCCTGAGCCTGGTGGGTTCCCTAGTATCCCTTTCTATACCATCCCCCCCTGGGTTCCTCCTCAATTACGAGGTCATGTAGTGATAATTAACTCAGGGGGGGGCGGTTAATATAGAGAGGGGTAACCCTAAACCCTATAACCCTACAGTATAGAGGTGGTGGTCCCTAAACCCTAAACCCTAAACCCATGAAAGCCTAAGCTTGGCAAGATGCGCTGGCCTTGCTGAGCAGCACGCTGCCAGCGCTGCGGGCCCCGGCCGCTGGGAGCGCGTGGTCATGGACGTGTGCTTTTGTATGTACGGCTTGGGGTTTAGGGTTTAAGGTTAAGGGTTTAGGGTTTTGGGTTGAGTGCTCCTAAGGGGGGTTGTATAGGAATCTAGTGAGGACATCGGGATAATGCAAAAGAAAATGGAAGCTAGTATGAGTGGGATCCTAGTACAAGTGGGGTTGTCATGGGACCCAAAATTAAGGGCAACATCTTGGGTTCCCCATAAAAAGGAGTATAGTATTTGGGGGATCTATATTGGGGTCTCCCTATTTTGGGAAACTACCATATATATATATATCTGTGTGTGTGTGTATAGCTGCGTATGTATATATTGCAAGCATGCATGTGTGTGTATGTATGTATGTATGTATGTATGTATGTCTGAACCTGCCATCTGGACGGCCACACGGCAGCCAAGGATACCGTGCTTTTTGGCAGCGCAATGAAGGCATTGTCAGACGCTGTGCAGCACCTTGGCAATTTGATATCAGCCTCATTTTTGCTTTGGCCATGCGTGTCTTGCAAGACGGGGGAAGAGAGTGGGGAGGATGGTGAGGATTATGGTTATAGTCACCCTTAAGTAGATAGAATATGGCTTTGGCTACGTTATAAGAGGATCCCCCATGCATCAGATGTTCTATGTACTTAAGGGGGACTAGTGAAGCACAGTCCATTTGTTTTTTAGACATTTGTCGCCTTACTTTTTTGAATGAGTAAGGCCCACGTAGAGATCCAAGAAATCCAAAAAGCACCTAGCTACTGCCGCATGGTGTTTTTTCACCGTCACACATGCGCACAAGGTGGCAGCGAGCCCTGGTACTGCTGGAAGAAATGCAAGGTCTGTTTCCTGGAGTATTTCTAGGAAGTTTTGTTGCTGGTATCCATTTTTTACAGGTGCCTCAGGAATAGATGCGCCTTGGAAGGTTGCAGAAACTGCAAAGTACAGAAATCCTTCGGTCATGCGTCAGCCCCACTTAATACGCAACAACAGCAGAACCCTAGCAAGGAACGTCGTGCGATTCAACACTCCATGACTGAGGAACATCCGCCCTAATGCTATCACCTGCTCGACAGCTTTGGGCGCATGTGACCGTGGAACTCTTTGGCGTCAAGCTCTCCAGCTCTTCGACGATATCTTTCAAAGAGGACGCGCATGCAAGGTATATGCAGCCCTTCAAGACATGATCATACTACGTAAAGACCTAGGTAGGGCAAAGCCTAAGTTGTAACCATGTAACCTTCTATAGTCTATAGTCCTTTATATCTAATACTATAGACAGCACTCGTGTTTCGTGATATGCCTGCCAAGGTAAGAACAAGCAGCTGCTACACCCTAATTCTCGGGGCTCTTTTTTCGGGAGATCTTCCTGGGAGATGATCATGCAAACAATCAAGCAGGTTTTGATAACTATGATGACGGTAGCAGTGTAGCAGTGCGGTAAGGTCATTAGCAGCGTGGAAGAGCAGTGAGTTGCAGCTCTTGCAGGGGAATGCCCAAGTTAGAATCGCACAATATCCTGTCGTATCTTGTATTTGTTGGTCTGGATAGCGTTAGTCCTGATATGCTTGCCTAATGATATGCGAGGCGTTCCAAACATGATGAAATCAGCTGCAGGAGCCCGGCATTTGGACAGCATCACCTACTGCAGCTCCGTGAGTGCATGCGGCAAAGCTTCCCAGTGGCTGGGTTGCTGGTAGGGTTTAGGGTTTATTGATTATTTTTTGTAGATACCACACTATGGTAATGTAATGTAAGTTCCTTAACAGCAGCCCAGGTGGTCTCTGGCACTGGCCTTGTTTGAGCAGAGCATTGTTCAAAAAGCCGCATCCTGAGTTTGACTCCTCTTGTCACTTGTACGAGCGTAGGCGCAGAGAGCTTAGTGAGGAGTATTGGTATGTTGTCAGGGTTCTGGTGTTTTGCATGTCCAAAGCAGGATGCGCTGTGTCATGCAGAGGACACAGACATTGTGAGGACCCCCAGTGGAAACTACAAGGGCAAGCAACGGTTCTTGCTGGATGAGCCATGGTTTTGTCTGGGTGCCTACAGGGTGGGTGGTGGGAGACACAGGATTTTAGGGGGGGAAAGTGCCAGCTTGACTGCTGCCAGGAAATTGGAAGGAAAAGCTGGTTTTGTGATTGTCTTTCTTTGTGCCCTTCAGTGCTCCCCAGCATGCTGTGCATAGCGCACTATCATGGCACAGGTTGTACCCAACAACTTTACGTACAATGCCACCATCACTGCATGTGAGCGGGGAAGCAGCTGGCCAACAGCAATTCAATTGCTGGAGGACTCCAAAATTTTTGGGTCACCTGATGTGGTGGTTTCCAAAGAGCAGGGGCCCCTTTGTGAAACTCCCCACCATGTGTGATTATAGCATGCTGGGGTCCATGTTAAGGCCCGCTATTGACCATAAGAGGCTATATGGGGATATAATGGAAAAGAAAATTGGAAACTACTACAGAAGAATACGGTATATACATATAGGGGATATATAGTAATAATGGAAAACAAAATGGAAACTACTATAGTATAGTATTGAGGCTTCACGAGATTGGTGCCCCAGGACATGGGCACAAGCAGCGTGCGGCCGGATCTGATCAGCTTCAGTGCGACCATGGCTGCATGCCAAGCTGGCCAAGAGTGGCCCAGAACCTTAGCTCTTTTCCGCGACTTGGCAACAACCTGGGCCAAAAAAAATACGGTGATGAGGAAAGGCCGTTACTTACTGTAATTACATAGATATTGGTATATTCCAGATCGAAATTCTTCCAGTTCAGGTTCGAGGCCACTGCGTGTATTGTACGGGATATGCCTATAGTTGCCGCCACCTGTGCCTGAAGGGCCGCAGGACTGTAGGGCTTGCAACTGATCTGAGGTGAACTTGAGCGCTGCTCACTGCAGGCAGATGCTGTTGCTTTCAATGCTGTGCTGGGAGCTGCCGACGACATGGAGGGAGAGGCGCGGATTTCCTGATGCACAAAGTTCCTACAGCTTATACATGGGGAGGGGATCAGAGGTGGTCGAGATTGGACATGTGGAGAGGAAGTGGGTCATGGCCCAGGCTCTCTTTCAGTTGGCGCGGAGGGCTTACCCGCGGCTTCTCATCTGCAATTTGCGAGAAACAGCACCAGTACTGGTCCTGAGTGCCCTGGCCCCTAACCAAAGGAAGTCAGACAACAGCGTAGCGTTGGCAACGGCTGTTCATCGCTGCAGCCTTCTCAAATTGATTCGCTGACGTCGCAGGATCTCAAGAGCAATCCCATCCATTTCATTGTAGATGTCAACCTAGCTCCCCTATAGCGAAGACGGCAATCCCCTCACCCCAGACTGAAAAAACACACACACAGACAATAAATACACCCCCCGACATAGTACCATTATACAACACGGGGAGAAGTCAGGATTCGGTCGTAGAGAAGTTTATTATCAGGGGGAGGGGATGCAGGAAGCACAGGTCACAGGGCTCGGACGGTGGATGCTAAAAATCCTGCAGGACCCAAAGTACCTTGCACCTTTGGAACTATAGGAATCTATAAGATTCTTATAGGAAGGTCATGCAGGATTTTGCTGAACCCTACATACCAAACCCTAAACCCGCACCGAAGGCTTTTGGCCAAGGGCCACGGATTCCTGGACCTGCATGACCTCTCTGCTGGTGCGGCAAAGTTTGCTGTTCCCTGGCACGCAGTTTGGACTTTAGGATTTAGGGGGTTAAGGGGGTTAAGGGTTAAGGGGGTTAAGGGGGTTAAGGGTTTAGCATATGTGGGTGTGCCCAGATGCGAAAGGTATGTGGAGCAGCTGGATGTGGGGGTTGCCTCCACACAGGGAACCCCAGTACAGACTGTAATCCTTTTCATGTGACCCCCCAAAACCTGAACCTTAAACCCTAACCGACAAGCTTATTACAGAATAAGCATAGTCATAATGAGATCAGTAAGTGGATATGGTATACTACCTAACTCCAGGGTCCCTCAAAGACCACCGCGTGAGCAGGTGCGCTGGTGGTTGGACCACGTGGGATATTGGTCTGGCAGTCACCCACCAGGCATGCTCAGAATTCTTGCAAGGGTTTAGGGTTTAGGGAAAAACCCAAGTTATAACCCAGGCAAAACCCCATAGTGTCTCCTAAGTACCATTAAAGATAACTTTCGTAGTGTGCCTACCTAGCCCCTAAATCCTAAATCTTCATGTCATCCCGGTTTCCAAAATCATCTTCCATTTTCCTTCCCAGGGTTTGTCCAGTATTCACTACCCCAAACCTTGAATCCAATCCCCTAGATTCCAGTTTACATGTCATTTCGCAGGCCTGGAGATCGTCACAGGTCGAGGTTCAACTCGAAAGGCTTGGTCAACCAGCGACCTCAAAGGCCTACTTGGACCAATGCACAATTTGGGGCTAAGGGTTTGGGGTTTGGGATTTGGGGTGTAGGGTTTAGGGTTACTTGGAGGGGTAGCGGCACCTGGTAAGCAAGCTAATGAGGGCACACCGGGGACATCGTATGGCCGGTAGAGTAGCCTGGAGTTTTGGGTCCCAAGCATTAAAATCAAGAGTTATGCTGGCTTAGGGATCCAATCGCCAGGGTACAAAAAAAGGGAACAAAGGACAACTCCTTGATGATGAGAGGTAAGTTGGATGACAGTCACCCAGTCAGAATGAATTGGAGAATGAACTTACAGGATTTCTACGCAGGTTCTGTGGAAGCACTGCTGGATCAGTTGGGCGTCCCGTGGGCCAACTTGCCCAACCCTGGGCGGATTAGATTGAGCCTTGGTTGCGCAGCTGTTGTGTGCCTTGGTCGTCTGGCTGTTCCAATGTCTTCATGCTACAATTGACAATGAACAAGCTGTTGTTCTGAGGCTCCCCCGTGCTGCTGAGAAGTTCCCGCGAGGCTCGACATGGCATGACCAGGAGGAAATGACGAGGACAACAACGGCACGCGGTCGCCCGCCACCTCCGCAGCGGGCTAAATGAGCATGAAGCAGGGCGCCCGCGAGAATTCCCAGCTTTCGCCGCTGCGCCGACTGAGCGTGCCAGGAGGCAGTGCAAGGCAAGACTCCAACCACAACTTGCTGCTTCTACCGGAAACTGTGTCAGAAGCCGGCCGGCTACATGCTTCGACTGGCACTACAGGCAGCACAAGAGCTTCAAGCAGGACAAGCATCACGTGCGTATGGCCAGTCCACGACTCGATGTGGAATCTCACTCGCTGTAGGTAGGTCCAACGCTGAAACAGCTGTTTTGCAGGTGACCGTTTGCTGCTTGCAGTTGATTCCCCCACTGGACACAGAGCGGCTGTCGGGAAAAAAGATGTCCATCAAGCATGTCAACCAACGAGAGACAGGGAGGGTCCTGAATTTTTTTGACTTTCAAATAGATCTCCCAAAAATTGCAGTAACAGCTTACATGCCCATCATTTCGGCGTTAACGCGGTCATTGTAGGCATTATGGGAGGCTCAGGTACGTAGCTCCTTCCCCCGCCATCTAAGGAAGGGCTTGGTCAGCTGGATTCAAGTGCTGCCCTTATTTGATGGCAAATTCGAAGACTTGACGCGAGCCTGGCAACCGCGCTTGTTTCATCAATCCCCTCCCCAAATATTGGATTGTACCAGGGATTCTGTAGGGATAGTAGATCGGATATTAGAAAGACATTTACGGATCATATAGGGTCTAGGGGAACATGACACCGGTAATTGAGAATCAAACGAACATAGAATGGAAACCGGTTATATATAGATCGGGGTTATATGGGTATGATGCTGTTAAATTTGTGTGTGCAACTACTTGCAAAGAGATTCCGAAAAAGATTGCTGCCTGAGGGATTGCTGGGGCCGTTCTACGGCTTGTAGGTGTTAGTCCCCCTGACCCACCAAGCAGCGTTTAGGAGTTCCCCAAGATGTCTTAAAGAATCCTTCATGGAGAATCCCTTTGCAATCCTCATATACCTCTAGTTTTGAGAGCCCCTACTTAGACCCTAAAGCCGCGTGTCCTTGTGATCGCTAAGCTTTGCAGGTCTATGGTTTTTAACGCCACAAGCTGACAGGGCCTGAATTGCTCAAAATTGGGGAACTTGGGGACTCTAGGGATCTGTTACCCAGACCCTTGATTAATAAACCCCTGCCCCGTAATAGGGATTATAATGGATCCTAATATTAAGGCCCTAAAAATGAGGGGGGTTTATTAATCACGGGTCTACATGGGGGAGTATGAGGATGATAGTGGTCCTGTTGTTGGGATTATGGAGGTGTGTGTTGCAGGCGTGGTAAACGGTCTGAGTATGCTCTACTGGCTAAACCTTTTTGCGCCACCTGGCATGCGTGCAGTGATGCTGAGGTATGTGGCTGTTGGAGCAACTATCATGACGAACATGCTCCTGAACATGGTCGCCAGCCTCAAGCCAAGTGGAATGTTGCACACGCGGCGCTAGCTAGAAAGCCAGGAACGCAAGGGGGCGGATACTTTCAACCAGCTTGCATCCTCTCTGCCAGACTCTAAGGGTGCCTATAGGGTAGTTTGAAGGGTTAGAATCGTTGTACATGTGTATCTATAAACATGTATATATATATATACATACGGATATATCGGGATATGTAAGGCTAATACAAGATTAAGGGTAAGGTATCTCAATAGAGCATGACCGGATTCTGGGGCCTGACTTGGCAGTCATGAGGAGGCCGGACAACACCTAATATCAATAGCAATAATATGAATATCAACAATATTACTAGTATTAACAATACGTATATATTGTTAATCATACTAAGAAAACCCTAATTTTCACGAGAGTGTTGATAATGATTTATTGATAACACTGAATGTTGCAGGTGGTGCCACCAGCTGTCACCATCATGAAGCTCGGCAAAATGTTGATGAAGTTACCTGATTCGCTGCACTTTACCCTCTGACGACTTCACGTAGCCAAGCATGCATGAACTCCCAACCCTAAACTTTAAACCCTAAACCCGAAACTTTAAACGGCTAGGAATGTCTTCGTCACTTGGATGATGCGGCGGTGCTGCAGAGGCAAAGGGGGTTTCCACAGCAACACTGGCTGTGGATTAGGCCTTGCTTTGCATGGCCAATCAGTTGTTGTGACAGCTTATGTAATCCATTCATGTTTTCGGCCTCCTGAATAGGCAGAGTGAAACATCATTCAGAGCTGATTACGCAGCTTGGCGATTAACTGCTTGGCACTGCCCACGTCCTGAGTCGACCTTTCCTGCTACACCAGTACTGGGTTGCAGTCTGCCGACAATGAGATTGCCCCAGCAAAGTCTGCCAGTGCAAAGGTTGTACACCAATCCTGAGTTTGATATCAAACTCAAGCTGCTCGGCACGCAACATTGCTTGCAAGCGACTTGTAGCTTTCAACCGTCTACTTAGATACAATTGCTAGGCTGTCGCTTTTTCCGGCAGCTCGCAGCCCAAGGTATGCCCAGATGCTGACCACTGTTTTCGTGACCCTGACTTATTCAGCTCCTGGTCCGCACTAGCTGTGTGGAGCGGCGGCGCATGCAGATACGTATGTTCAGAACGTGCTCATTGCTGATGCAGCACTCGCAGTCACTAGCACCAGCACCAGCACCAGCAATAGCCATAGCCAAAGCAATAGCAGTGGCAACGGCAATAGCAAGAGCCATAGCAGAAGTAGCAGCAATTAGCAGTGGCAATAGCAGTAGCAGTAGCAGTAGTAGGCGGCGGCATCGGCGTCGTCGTCGTCATCGTGGTAGTGGCAGTGGTAGTGGTAGTAGCAGTGGCAGTGGTATCAGGCAGCACCCCTACTGCTAGTACAACAATTACTACTTCTTCTACTACTACTACTACTCCTACAACAACAACTACTACCTGCTGCTACTACTACTACTACTACTACTCCTCCTACTTCTACTACTACTCCCACTATTTCCACTACCTGTACTGTTAGTACCGCTACTGCTGCTGCTGCCGCTACTACTCCTACTACGACTAGTACGACTACTACGACTACGACGACGACGACTACTACTAGTACATTAGTAGTACCAGTACTACAAGTAGTAGCCTGTGCTAGTACTGCTATTACTTGTACTAGCACTAGTACTAGTACCACCACGACTACGACCACTAGGTGGGGTGGTGGTGGTCGTGGTCTTGCTGCTGCTACGGACCTTCTGATGGTGACAGCGGCACTCCATGTTACTGCACCCCGATGGCTGCTACTGCTACGACTTGTGATAGGACTAGTGCTGGAAGCTAGTAGTAGATCCACGACTGCTGCTACTGCTGTCGCTGCTTCTGCAACCACTAGAGTGACTACAATCGTCGATATGGCACTTCTCCTTCTGCTGCTCCCTTGAAAGGCCGGCCTGCCCCTACTGTACCTCTTCGCACTCGGCTACATGGCTTGCATGCCGCTGGACGCGCATGTGACTTGTTCGTGGGGAGTTTCTCTATGCTTTCCCATTTCCTTCTGAGACCGCATGGCAAAGGAATTACACTCTGAGACATGCTAAATCCATGAATCCTCTCTTCCTTGCCGCTTCTGCTGTCGGTTGAGCGCGGCTGTAGGTACTGGGCGGACAAGATCTCCCTTCTTTGGTGTTCCAAGAGGCCGCCATTCTATGATGCATTGCTGCCGAAAGAGTCGTCTGAAAAGCTGCTCCCCGGGCTCCAATCAGATGAGAATCGGCAACCATGAATCACGTGAATTTCATAAGCAAGGGCAAGACCTTAAAGTGCTGTTACTTGAGAGATTTGAGCTTGTGTTCGTAGGTATTGCAGCATGCGTTTTCTCAGATCATTGCCGTTGACTGCGTAGGGCCCCTGCAAAAAGAAGAGTCGCTGGGGCTTTTTAGTACCTTTGACCCATGCTGCTTCAAGCTGAGGCTGTATGCCATTGCCTTCCACTGCATATTCGCCATCTGGATGCCACTTAGAGGAAAGGGTGTTGGTGACCGCCCAAAAGACCCCCAGATACCACTCATTTACAGATCGCAGCTTTCAATTGTAAGTTTCTCCAAATGATCCCCATATAATCCCTAACAAGGAAAGCCCAATAGCCTGCTAATAGTCCCTACATATCTTTAGGGTCCAAGGGGCTCCTAGACAACGGAACACTAAACCCCAAAACTCCTAAGCCACTAAACCCCTAAACCCCTAAAACCATTTGAGACAGCCCCAACCCTAAGGTTTGGCCAACCTTGCGTGTTTCCATCCAAACCAGTTGGTGGTGACTTGGGCAACTCGGTTGCAGTTGAATCCATCAGTTCTAAGGTTTTATGGTCGAGGGTTTAGGGTCTAGAATCTAGGGCTTAGTGTCTAGGGTTTAGGGTCTAGGGTTTAGGGCCTAGAGTTTAGGGTTGAGGGGTTAGGGTTTAGGGATATCACCCCCAATGATGGAGAATCACATAGAAAAGAACATGGAAGATGAACTGGAAACTAGGACTATGTATACGAGCTACTGGCACTATGAGGCTTGGCCAGGGACCATGAAGGGTGAAGATAGGACTCCATTGGTAATTGAGCATACTCCCTAACGTATCTCCTCATAGGAGCCATATCGTAAATTTTCAGTGTAGCTCTTGTGACAGCCGACCCCCCCCCCCCTTCCACTTTGAAGCGCGCCGCCAAAAATCCACGGAGCATCGAGTTCTTCCGGCACCTCAGTCCTGGGTTTAAAAAAGGGTTTTTGGTATACACGCAAGCCTGTTGCATTTTTTGGTCTTGCTAGTTATTCCAGCTTCTATTCCAAGTTTTATGCTTGCTATTAAGATGTTTATGACTATCAGAATTACTAATCTCAGTGTTGCTATTGCTAGTTCTTCTTCTGCCTACAGTAGCCAAAATAGAATTCCTAATGCCTTCCGTTTTCTTTCCTCCACTAACTACCAGCAAGTCAGCCCAAAACCTTAAAGCGTAAAACCTACGTATGCCTATAAGCCCCCCGTGTCCATTTCATGTTCCAATTGATTTTCCCACTGGTTTTCCGTTTGCCC